GTTTTCAAAAACCCTTCAATATTAATTGTTATTTGTAGAACTTAAAAAATGTATATATAAATTAATTATTAATGTATTAGCTGTTAGTGGTTATAATTTTATATTGATTAGTTACCTAATCTCAATGATGTTGAATTATTAGATTCTAACAAACTATATCATTAATATTTGCTTGTTCAACAGAATCAAATAAACCTATTGTAATTATTTATTATTTATTAAAACCAAAAGAATTAATCATTCGTATTACAAACAAATCTCACATACTAATTACTACAAATAAATAAATAAATTCAGATAAATTCCATCTGAAATTTTATACGATCTGATTTATCTGAAATCTTATCTCGAAATTGGTTTGAAATTTGATCTGAAATAAATTTTGTTTGTTGTTGTGCGTGACATACAAATTTGACTTTTGCGCACATCTGAAACTTGATAAATGTCTTCACATATTTCCAGCTCGATTTAGAACAAAGATTGACTCACAGAATTTACGTGGATTCATCGAACGTGAGTCAAGATCTGCCACAATTCGCTCAAAAAGAGCCATCTGTGTAAGTTATAATTTCCTAATTTGCTCAATAGCTATTTTGCAGAATGTGTTCAAGATGAGAATGCTATTTGGGCCATATGCTAAATTCCTAACTCGACGGATATCCGGATATCTTTTAACAACTAAATCCGGATTTCTAATGACTTTGATAATGTTCGGATCAAACAACAGATGCAAATTAAGGGTTAGGGTTCAAATACAAGCTCTGGTTACAGAGACAAATTTGAACGACCTTCTGAAAATGCAGTCATTAAGTATGCTAATGTAGCAAAACCACAAAATACAGCAAAAAAAAAACACAAGATTATGGTATAGTCGATTTGAAAAATTTGTTAATGATTTACGACCTGTTATTGATTTGTTAACATTCGACAAAATGGCCATTTCTGCGAATTTATTGTTGTGGCAAAGACAAGAGATAGAAAGAAATATAAAACTGGTTTCGATATAATTACAATTCATGATAAAAGTGTTTATTACCATCCAACAAACTATAATCCGCATCCAACTCATGTAATCTACATCCACTAGATGAACTAGGTCACCGGATGCTTGTCATGACATCAGAAGGTACGCCAATTAAATGCAGAGGAAAGCTTTTCCTAGGGATACAAAATTCTTATTAGCTAATTTGAAATTCACGCACCAACATATTTATCTACTGTCATAAATAAGTTGCATAAATGGAGTTATCATTGTGAAATGACCTTTGCTTGAGAAAATAAAATCATTATTTTTATTAAATAAAAAAAACATTGATTTATTTTCATTGCTTAAATTCTTTGGTAAAAACAACAAGTGGAGCGTCTTGATAGAAAGTTATTTTTTTGCCTTAGCGAGTAAACAAAGGTAGTACCAACGTTAATTAACTAATGATTAGTAACATAATTTGTTTTAGTGAGCGAGCAAGGGTTTAGCATTGATGTTGATTAACTAGCTGGCAGGAGTTAACGAAGTATTGTTCAATGGTTAATTGGAAATACTAGTAGTGTTATTCTAATCGCAAACGTAAATCTGTCAACAAGCTTGCTTAAATTGTTTGTAAATGACCAAAATGGCTAGATAAAAATAAACAAGGGTAAACAACTGAAATAAATCAGTTACAAGTGAACAAAAGGAGCTTTATAGAATCATTTGAGCTTTGCAAAAGGGCCATTTTTATTTATTTAAGTTATCCGGTTAAGGTACAACAAAGAAGCAGTAAAATAACTTTGTAAACTAATTAATTGACAAGCGCGAGCTATTTACTGATTGCAGCTTAACTCTTGTCAGTTAATTGCATTAACAAGAATCATAAGGCTATAAAAATTTTATTATTTAAAAAATATTATTATAATCTAGCTTTAAGAAGATTATAATGAATAGAATTATTAAAATTAGTCATTTATCGATTCTTTCTTTTACTATTATGATTATTACTAGAATCTAACGTTAATTAATTAATTAAAAAAAATATTGTTAGTGATCGATAGTAATTTCCAATTAATCAATAAAAATTTTTATCTAACATTTTAGAGAAAAGAGTTAAGATCGAGATAATTTAATGAATTATCATCATCCAAGATTTGACATGCATCTTGATGTAATTTGTGTACTCGTTGTGAATTACTGCCACCACCACTGCTTCTTCTTCATCTTCTTCTTCTGCTTGCTTGCTACCGTCATTATTAGAATCAATCTCATGTTTAATCTTTTTATTAAACTATTATTTCCATGTTAACATCCCAACGCTATAAATATCCGATTCTTTATATTAGGTAGTTCTTGTGGAACATATGATAGATTTGTTTGATAATTTTTCTACATAATCCCAAATCTGTAATATAACAACTCCGCTTATTAATAGATTGATTACCGCCATGTAAATCACAATGGATTAAATCCTTTTTGTGTACACGACATAATGCATCACATAAAACACCCAAAGATTATATAGTTTTGTTTTTTAATGTTAAGCTCAAATGAGCAATAAAAGGATTTTTTTTTTCTATTTTATCATTTTTAAAACCTGTCATTTGTACTATGTAAAATTTGTTCTACATACCAATATTGACCGGTTTATATGTGCTTCAAACTGAGTACTATTAACTTTAAAGTCAAAATTCGAAAAAAATCAAGTTAACACAGCTCGTATGTATGTAAAAGTTGCTCTACATATCAATATTGACGTGCTTCGAACTCAGTAACAAAGACAATTCGAATGCGTTTTATGAAATATAGTAATAAAAGAAAGAATATTAAATTTCTAAAAAGGAGAGGCATTTTTATTTTGAAAGAATATATATATGGAAAAAATATTTTAATAATGAAATTATAACATTTGTAGAACTTCTCATGATAATTACTCTTCTTGGATCATTGCAATACGCATACAATGATAATAATTCTTTATTCATTCTTGGAATAGACATTTTTTTACAGTGATTTTTTCATAGTTTTATTATTTGGTGTTTTTGATAATCCTAATTTATCAATTATCATTATTGTTATCATGGTGTTCTTGATCTTGTTGTTGATGTTTCAATCTATCTCCGAAGGAAGCACGTAAAATCATAATAATAACAATCAACTGTAAATGGTCACATTATACTTATTTTTGGGGGACAGGTGAGTGAACAATTTTCTGATGAATTTTGCTTCGTATGGTGCAAGTCACTCACTCGTTGAACTTTTTATTGGCTGTGTATATCCTTTAACTACTACAAAAACCGTAATGTATGTATGACAAAAAAATAAATCATAGGATTAAAGTAACTACAATTCTATGGCTTCATTTTGTTTGATCCATAACACATTCTTTTTTTTCACATTTCTAACCAATAAAAAGTTTAGTGACCAAGTGACTTGCATTATTTCTTTTTATATATTGTTTGTTATCTTGTATTTTCACGCCATATGATTGTTAGGAGAATATGCATGGAATTTCTGTATATTACACAAAAAATTCTAAAAATGTTGAATTTATATGACTGAAAAGTATTTTGTCGTTGTGTTGCAAAAATAATGTGTCACCATCACCAAAAAAATAATATGTTTTAAGACAAAGATTTCCTTTTTATTTTTAAAAAATTATAAATATATAAAATGCTTGCCAAAATAGTTCTTCTTTGATTGCGAACTCGAAAAAAACATTTGATGGAGAAAAACAGATGTAAAATTCATTGATGAAAAATTATAAATATATAAAATGCTTGCCAAAATAGTTCTTGTTGATTGCGAACTCGAAAAAAACATTTGATAGAGAAAAACAGATGTAAAATTCATTGATGGGAAATTCATTTGTTCGTAAATAAAGATTTGCACCAGAATGTTTTAAGAGAGACCTTTCCTTTTGTCGCTATTCATTTACTATGCTTGTGTTCGTTGATGAATCAGACATAAAATGGACGAGGTTATTGCTTCCTCGAAATTTTTTCCATCAATTTTTTTAAATTCTTGTCAAAAAAAAAATTTTTCTAATAATTACAATAAACAAAATGAATTTTTCTTCGTTTATTT